TATCTGAAACTCATCAATGGGTTCTCTCTAGCCATGGAAAAAAAGTGATTATAGATCGCAATCTCGAAAAACTCAAATTTTAATCGTTTAAAGACAAAGAAGAGTGATATCGTTGACTAAGAGACTTGATTAGATTACATTAATCGTGTTCTTTAAGTCATATGCACATGTGACGATGGAGAAATCCGTTGGACTGCGTGCCGTCTCAAAGCAAGGGAAACGCCGAGACGTTGACCTTGTGGGGTTATGTCTTAATACGGTACCGTTTTGTTTAAAGGTAAAAGAAAACTAAAAGACAAGCGCCGCTGCCGGGGATCGAACCCGGGTCACCCGCGTGACAGGCGGGAATACTTACCACTATACTACAACGACATTTTGTTTGAAAACTTACAAATTGTTTAACTTAACATATAATTTGAAAATAAATTTAACTTAGCAATACAGTATTACTTCACAACCAAAGTGTTGAATATCTATCTATGTACAAACAAATTCATGTACTCTTCTACGACTGTGTCTAGAAATTATTATCTTAATTTCATCCTTAAAAATATGTCAGTGTTAGAAGTTTGATTATACCATACTCAAAATTATATTTTATGGTTGTTGTTAGATAAAGGCTTTACTAGTTTCAGAAAAAAAAAAGAAAAAGATAAAGGCTTTACCATAAAGGGATATTAGACCTACTTTCTTGTAATAAAAACAATTAATGGCGACTTAAACGTTGCAAATTCAATGAAGAAACGGATATTTTTTTCCTCGCATTAGAAATGTGAATTCTAAAAGCAATTATAGCTAGTGGTAGGAACTATTTCTAGTATTTATATAGTTATACCAAGAATAAAATATGTATTGTTATGTTTGGTCAGATCTTAAAAAGTGAACCTAACCTTCCCTCTAACATTTGTTAATATGTTTCCAAAAAAAAAAAAAAACATTTGTTACTTCAAAACATCGCGTAGAAAGAAGAAACATATGTGGTGGTCTCCGAATCACTCATCTCAACTCAAGCTGCATTTGTTGACTTAATCCCACACCAATCCCATATAAATCACCTAAACCATTATATTATTTGTAACACCATATGGATAGCTCATTAAAAACAAATTATAAGGCGAGTTTTTAATTCCTCTTTAAATGTTTTCCATGAGGGAAATTTACATATTTACATACTTGTTTTAGATGTATGAAATTCTATATAAGGCGAAGGTTTACACTTTTCAACTATAAAAAAAAATGCTTGAGTGTGCAGTCTTGGTTTTGATCTGGTTATGGTTAGTAGGTCTTTCATTAATTACAAGGTAGAAGAAGAATCATATTTTATGATTGCCAGAAATTTCAGGGCATGCAACTATGACCTAACTTATATTACAAGTTATATTGTGATGTGCGGTTATTTTAAAATTTACTTTCTAATATTTTATTTCATTGGAAACAATTGATCTTAATTAATTTTCCAATCCATATATGATTTAATGAATGATAAGTTTTTTCAGTGCGTATCTTAGTTGTTTTCATTTATTGTTGTAATCTTATACTTAAGTGTGATACTGATTCGTGAAAAAAAAATGAGATATTGATTTTTAAACGATTATAAATAAATAAATAACAATATCGATTAGTGTTGTTCAAAAAACAATATCGATTAGTTTGTACAATAATTTGTACGTTTGGAAAAGACTGCTTTCCAATATCGTAAGTTTTATACTAAGGCTCCGAATGGAGAAAGCAGATCAAGCAGAGCGGATCAAGCGGATYAAGTARATCAAGTAGRAAAAAAGYAGATCTAGCAGATCAAGCTGGAGAAGTGCAGATCTAACAAATAATGCAGTTCATAATATATGTTTGAATGGTGAAAGCAGATAAATAGTAGTACAAAATATATATTAAAATAATAAAAAAAATTGGAATAAAAATCTTAACTAAGAAATTATTAAACAATATACATACTTTTAAAAAATTACATTAAGTCTAAATATTGTTTAGTTTTTCATATTTTTAACACAACTTTTTCAAATGTTAAAATTTTACATTTGTTTTTTAATTATGATAGCTATATTATTAGATCTAGGTTAATTGGTTAGATTTTTTATTATATTTTTTTTAGTTACTCAACCCAATTTCCCTATTATTTATTGTGGTGTTAAAATTTAATTTTTTTTAATTATGATCACTAGCTTATTTAATGTTCTTACTAGAATAATAGTTACTTTATAACAACAAAATATAATCAATTTTCTAAATAATTCCTTAAATAAAACGAATTACGTTATTAAAATATAATTTATAAATGTATAAACTACAATGGTTGTTAAAATATATATTTCAAAACATCATACATAAACTAAAATAAAATACAACGTATGAATAAAGAAGAAATTTTTTATAGAGTATTTCGATTTGCCCATAACATATTTGCAATATTATTCCTAATTGTTGTCATAAGATCTCCTTCTCCTATACTTGAAGTGTTCATKTCACCTAAATCATTCTCAGGATTTGTGTTGGTAACCTCGGCTTGTCTCATTATTTCCGCAAAATCTTCATCTGAAAAACTTGAAATTCTAATGAAATTATGTAATCCCATTGTAGCCATTACCWCTCTCTTTTGCACGTAAAGATTATATCTAGGAAATTCACA